GGGCCTGACTCGTGGTGGTCGTCGAGCTAGGGGCGTGGACGGTCACCAAAATGGCCGGGTCGGGGGCGGCAGAGGAGGAAACTCCGCCGTGGCCACCCTGTCGGAGAACTGGGGACCCAGACTGAGAGCCAGGAGAAGAGAGAGGATGAGGAGAGGAAGGACGACCAGCGTCCTGGAGTTGCTGCACGCCGGCGGCAAGGGTCGCCACCTACGCCTGTAGGGGCCCGAGGGCCGCGAGTTGCGCCTGGATGGGCGCGAGAAGGGAGCTTAGGGGGTTGTGTATATCCCCCTGGGCTGATGGCAATGGTCCGCCGACACGGGTGTGGAGCCCGATGCCGTGGTCATCGCCGTGTCGACGGCGTGTGATGCACCGTCGGCCATGGGGAGATGACGGACCGGACTGGAGGGGGCCCGAAGAGGTCCGCGTGAGCGGAGGGCGCAGGGGGAGGTCCGCGGTAGAAAGCGGCGAACGGCGCTAGCAAGGCTAGCACGGGCGCCGTCATAGGGGGAGGGGTGGTTCGGGTCCAGGGTGCCCGAAGAGGACGGGGAAGTAGGGGGGTTTTGAGGAACCCTAAGCCGTACAAAAAAACCTAAGAAAACCCTAACCGAGGTTTAAGGCTAGGGTAGGGTACCGGTGACCTAATCAAGAAAGTAAAATAGCAAGCAAAGGGGGGGTGGGGAGGAAAGAGAAATGAATAAACAGTGATATTTCGAGGGGAAATAAAAATAAATAAGGAAATAAATAAATAATAAATAATTAAATAATTAAAAAAATGAATAAAAAGATGTGAAGAGAAACAATATTTATTTTTTTGAAATTTTCGGCAGCGTTTCCCTACCCCCCACGGGGTCAAGAATGTGCCAAGGGAAAAGGAGAGATCGAGGTGTGCACACTAGAGATGCCGCAAATAAATAAATAAAAAGAAATTTCAGAAAATAAATAAGAGGTGGGGAGAAATGGATTATCTGATTTTTCAAAAATTTTGGCAGCATTTCGTTACCCCCATGGGGTCGAAGTGTGCCGAAAAGACTAAGTAAGAGAAAATCAAAAAATTTCGGCTGCACTTCGTTACCCCCACGGGGTCAAAACGTGTGTCGAAAGCAAGAAAGGCTAACACCTCTTCAGATTTAGGGTTGCCGCCAAGAATTTTCAAAATAAGTAAAAATAAATCAAAAAAATAAGAAAAGAGGGTTGCCGTAGAGAAAATCGAATTTTCCAGAATAAATAGAAAAATAAAGTAAATAAATCARAAAATGAGAAAAGAAGGTGGGAAAGAAGATATTTCGAATTTTTGAGAAAAAGAGAAGATAAATCAAAAGAGAGGTGGAAAGAAGAAAAACAGAGAAATTTTCGAAGTAGGGGGGGAAGGGGAATGAAAAGTGAGGGAGAAAAGAAAGAAATAGGTGGGGGGGAAAGAAAAAGATGAA